GGTTTGGGGTGGGCGGCGACGCGGCTGCGTGGTTGACAATTAACTTTGAGAGCATGTCTGCACGAGTGGAGGTGGTGCTTGGGCATGCGTGCGAATGCCGCAAGAGACCAACTTGTTTCGTTCTGACGCGCTCGTGTGTCGGGTGTGGAGCACGACGGTGTGTTTGTTGTGCGGTGCCAGTGCAAGGGTGTTGTCTCGGGTGTTTGGACCTGTCTGGACCTCCACCCTGGGCACCCCCCAACGCTCCAGCACTCACAATTCGCGAGCACGCACTCTCAATGCACATGCACACACACACACACACACACACACACACTCTCACACCCTCCAGGGTGGTTCAGCAGGCGCTGTTCCCCGACAACAGCTACCGCCACGACAGCGGCGGCGACCCCAAGGACATCCCGGACCTCACCTTCGAGCAGTTCCAGGTGGGGGGACAAGGAAGAAACCGCGGGGGCGTATGCTTGTGCACGTTCACGAGCGCGTGGTCTTTGCCCCGGCGGGTGGCGCCTCGTCGTCAGCAGCTTGGGGGGAGTTTGTTCGAGAGATCCGTGACGACCCGTGACGACGGCGGTCGTGCAGGGTGCACGGTGGCAAGGAGCCCGCCGGCATCGGCAGTGCCAGCCGCAGGCGCCGGCTTTTCCGCGTGACCTGACAGTCCACCTCCCACTTGAGCGCGGAAATCATCGCGCCCGCCCCCGCCCGCCGCCCGCCCCCAGGACTTCCACGCGCGCTACTACCACCCCTCCAACGGCCGCTTCTGGTTCTACGGCGACGACGACCCTGTGAAGCGCCTCGCCATCCTGGACGCGTACCTGGGGGAGTTCGAGGCGCGCCCAGTCAGCAGCGCCGTTGATACGCAGGCGAGGGGTTGGGAGAGCGGCGGCGCGGGCGTGGGTGCACTGCTCGTCGGGCCTCGCGGGCCGGGCGGGGGCGGGGATGTGCTTTGCTGGATCTGAGTGTCAGGGGATGGGGCTGGTCGCCCGCGGGGATTTTTAAAGGGGAGGAGCTGTTGTTTGTCCCGCGAGGTGGATTTGCGGAGCGCCAGGACGGTCTCAGGTTTTTTTGGGTGGCTGAGGGTCGAGGAGGGTCTTGCGGGTGAATTGCGGTTGTGGAAGGCCCCCGCCCCTCGCAGCCGGCTGACGCGCTCCCGCGCCCCCCGGCCCCGCCCCTGCAGGCGCTGCTGCCTGAGCCGCGGCGTGTGACGGCGCACTACGCCGCTGGCGAGGGCGAGGAGGGCGAGGAGCAGAAGGTGAGCGGACACCGCCCCCTCCTCTCCCCTCACAACCCCACCTCCTGGGCCCTCGCCCCCTTCTTTCCGCAAGGGGCTTGGTTGCAAACGCGCTTACGGTCAGTTGGGCGCAGCCGATGCCGCCACCTGGCCCCCTCACCCTGTGCTGACGGTCGCGTGTGGCACACACCGCCCCCTGCCCCCAACACCCGACCGCAAACCCCCTTATCCTGACTGGCGATTTTCTTGAATCCCTAGCAACCCACCTTGCCCCCCGCACCCTCACTCCTGCTGTCGTCAATGCCGCAGGCCTACGTGGCGGTCAACTGGGTGTTGACCGACGAGCCGCTGGACGTTGAGACCGAGCTGGCCCTGGGCTTCCTGGACTACCTCATGCTGGGCACCTCCGCCGCCCCCCTGCGGAAGGTGAGCAGGCAGGCCGGCCGGGCCCCTTGGCCCGAGCGGGGTCGTGCAGGTTGAAGCTGGTGACAAGTTGTTCTCTTTTCGTTCCAGATCCAATTTGCGAGAGCTGCCACATGTTGCCGCGGCGGAACCGGTCCCGGGGGCACTCGTGCGTGTGCGGGGTTGCGGCTTGCTGTCGTTTTCGGCGCCCGGCGGGTGCCCGAACTGGTCGGCTCGCATGCACGGCGGCCTCGCGTGTGGCGCGCCGCCACCGCGCAAGCACAGCAGCCTTGCTCACTGCTCAAACCCCGCCCGCCGCGCATTGGCTCCACCCCCCCCCCCCCCCC